CGTTCCCCTCTCCCAGATCTTGCTCGCCACTCTCCCAGATCTCGCTCTCTCACTCGCCTCTCTCACTTTATACAAAAACGCAAATGTATAAAATGCGTGAAAATTGTATATATACATATATTTTCGTTCTCCTCTCCCAGATCTCGCTCGCCACTCTCCCAGATCTCGCTCTCTCACTCGCCTCTCTCACTTTATATAAAAATGCAAATGTATAAAATGCGTGAAAATTGTATATATACATATATTTTCGTTCCCCTCTCTCCCCTCTCCCAGATATCGCTCGCCACTCTCCCAAATCTCCCTCGCTCACTCTCATCTCTCACTTTATACAATTGATCTTTTTGTATGTGTATACCAAAGCAGATTATACAACTGCTTTCTTTTATATATGTATAGCGAAATATACATATTTATGTTTGCTATGGAGCGCAATTATGCAAACTTTGCTATAACATACAAATATGAATTTTGTGTTTGCTATATGTGAAAGTTGCTCTAAAGAATACAACAAATACAGGCAGAGCTAACAAAAATTTACTACGAAAAATAAATATTGAAACAATAGCTAAACTTGAAATTTGAGACGTGTTAAAGGATATTATCCTTTAAGATATTTTTGTTAGATTAAGTATATCCCCAGAATTTAACCAACTTTTCAAATTTCAAGTACTAACAATTAGGAGAAACAAACTCTTTCTAGTAACAAAAATAATACTCACTAGATTGTTTAAGAGAAGAAAAGCGTATCAATAGAAGGAAATTTTTTTAAAAAAAATTTATTTCCGTATACTTTTCAAAAAGGCAATAATCTGAATCTATAAGTCAAAGAATTTTTAAAAAATAATCTAAATAGTAAATTTAAAGTATAATTTAGTTGAATTATTTTTCAAAATGGAACATGCTAAATTTTATATATATCTACTTTCGTTGGTAAACAAAAATTCATCGTGCCGTCTATTTGGAAATTACCATAAGTGCAGTGTTCTAACTTTTGTGCACAAATAGCTGGCATGAAACTGTTATGAATGGGCCGAGATCAATTATAGCAAACCAGTCCAATACTATGTGCGCGATCCAAAAATTATGCACAATATCAAATATTTAGCTTATATTAGGTACTATAGCTATAATTTTTAAAAATATATAATTCGCAGCTACAGTTTTTCCAATTATTGCTATTCGCTTGATTTGTATAATTTGTCTTATTTGTATAAATTCAGAATTTGTATAATTCGGTTCCTGATTATATAAATTCAGAATTTTGGATATGCTTACCCTAGCTATTTGTATACGATTTATGAAAAATTCATAATAAATTACCATGTTTGTATGTTGGCAAGCGAAATATACAAACGGGATTCTGAAAAATTCCTAAATGTATAAATACAGAATTTGTATATACTTACTTTGTTTGTATATTCGCTAGCGAAATATACAGATAGACAAAAATATACAAACCACATCCTCCATCGCAAAATTATAGCTATAGAGCCTTATTATGTATGTTAAGTTTATTATTTATGAAATTTTCTCAAAGCATATTCCATGAAAAGTAGGTTTATGCCAATTATTGCGTAGAAAGTATAGTATGATTTTACTTTCTATACTTTTAGAGTTTACATTTTTCATCTCTATTCTTATTCATAGTAATTTAATAATTTGAATATTACAATTACGATTCTAAAGTTATACTCGTTCTGGTTCTTATTAATATAAAATGAGGGATTCGAATTTGTTATAGAAACTTGTATGCGAACTTCACACAAAACTGCCCTTTATTTCATGTTGATTAACAAAGGTTTCATGTAAATATTTCAATTATATGACTTATTTGTATTGTAACTCGAGAGATATTGGATGAAATGGATAAGATATTATGAGTGAATTAAAATGGATTAATAAACCAATATCGTTTGAAATTTGATAAATTAAATTGAGATACAATAAATAAAAGAGAAAAGACATAAAATCACCATTGAAGTTGTCCCATATTTTCATAAAAGACACCTTAACTTTAACTTTGGAAGTGTCCTATCACCCCACAGAACTTTTTGATATCTTTGTAAATGGGCCATTTTGACTCATTCCCTCGTCTGGGTTGTCGCGCGTGATGCTTACTCTTTTCAGCCCGACCAGATTCTTTACTAAAGTAGAAAAGTCTTTTTTTTCTTTGTTATTTCTCAGCTTTCCAAATTCTTCACATTTTCTTGTCTCTCTATCAAGGAATTCGAGAACAAGAGGAAGGAGAGAGCGCAGGTAGCATACGAGAGGAGAAAGCAGTAGGCAAAACTTAGAGTTAAGGCTGAGAAAGTTGCTGAGGAGAAGCTTGGACCTCAACTCACCATTATTGCTCTACTCAAGAATTGAATTGGGACATAGTTATTTCGAAGTACAATTTTGTTGAAGATCGATAAATCGTCTTATAATTATCTTTCTCTTTTTGTTTCTCTTTCTTGGTATTGTAATTGGGTTTTGCTTTGATTTTTGACTTTCTCTGTTTTTGGGTTGAATTTGTTTAGTATTCTCTCACTTGGGTGTGAACAAATTTTGTTGGGTTTGAGTTTTTCAGTCAAATTAGGATTTCAAAATAGAGGGAATTTGAGAATTGATTGCTCAATTGAGACTTTAAAGAAGTTGTTAATGGAGATGATTATAAAGAAGAGCTTGAAAATGGTAATGTTGAGTTTGAAACGGTAATGTTTTGGGGAAGAAGATGATTTAAAGCACTTAAATAATTAATAAAGAAAACCAGTGAAATGTGGCACTTTTTAATTGGGTTTTATCAGAAAAAACAAACATTTAGGCGCGTGTTGTGCGTGTTCACAAACCAGTTGAGAAAATGGGTCAAAATGATCCTTTTACAACGATATTCAATACTTTTGTGGGGTAATAGGACACCCGTATAGTTAAAGTGTCTTTTTAAAAATTCGAGACAACTTTAGGTGTCACTTTATGTCTTTACTCTAAATAAAATGAATAAGGCACCATAAATAAAATGAAATAAATAAATAAAATAATTAATAGTTGAAAATGAATAAATTGAATATAGTGGATGAAATAATTGAGGTACATAAGTGAAAGAAAATAATATCCAAGCTTATGAGTGAAACTAAATAGATGAATAAAATAATTACAAGTTGATAATGAATAAATTAAATTAAGGTATCATGAATTAAATGAACTAGACATCATAAGTGAAATTGAAAAGAGGTGCTATATAAGTGAATTGAAATGAATAAATTAATAAAGTTTAGATAAAAAAAAGAGCTGGAATTTTGAAATTTCAAGCTAAATTTAAGATAAAACATCTAAAGTTTTACAACCAACAAGACATTAATAATATTTAAAGGGCGATATATTTATATTATTAATTCATTTACATAATAAGTGCTTAACAAATAAATATTTTTCTAAAATGTAAGTTAAATTTTGTAATAAAATACTTTATCATATATTTTTCTTCTCAAGTGAAAGTGTGAAACAACTTACTCTTGCATTGTGTGCTAGGAAACACTATGCTTAATTCTCATTTATGTTTGCAGTCTAGCTAGGAAGCAAACACTCTAATCGTAAGATTAAATCTAAATTTTCATAACCTGTTTAGCACGAGAAATGATCGACGGAACATCAAAATTTCATGATCCATTAATAATTCGTTTTCCGATGATATTAAAAACTACCTACCTTATTTGGATGGTAAGTGATATAACTGTCCATAAAATAAGTGATTGCTACTATATTTTTGATGATCAATTGAAATATTAATAAGTGTCTAAATTGAATTTCGCTAAACAAAGAGTAAATATAAACAATTTACCAAGTAAGGGGTGAAATTTAATCCTTTTCTTCTATGTCCCCAGACTTGTGCGCTTTTTCGTTACGCTACCCTCTTCCTGTTGGCTGTTGCCCTCTTCTGAATTCGATAATGGAATTAGGGCTCAGGTTTTGTCTTATTCTCCGAGAATTCAGAGGAAGGCGTTGGCCTATCTTCTACTTCAAATCTAGGGTTCGCCAATCTGATTTTGATTGGTCCGATAATCAGGTACACTTTCTGTTATTCCCTCTTTAATTAGGTTTTGGCTTACCTCTAGCAATCTAGAATGATGAAATTATCATATGCATCTCTGTATAAACCTATTATACTTATGGAAATTGCTCTTATTTTACAGAATATAGTATTGGCCAAATCGAATAGATTGCGGATTTTAATTACTCTCTAGCCAACTATTGCTTTCTCATCTTCCAATAATCTTAGTAAATTTCTCAAGGAACAGAGAAATATAGTTGTAAATCCAATATTATAGTAAGCTTATAAGTTATTAACAATACGATAGAGTAAAAAAATAAAATAAATACTACTATTCTCTTGGTTCCAGTTTCTGTGGCTATAAATTGTTTCGTTAATCATAAAATGAGAAGTTAAAGGTGAAGTGCTATTTCTTTTATAGACCAAAAAGGAAAGAGTGTTACATCATCGAACGCTATAGTCTATTCAAACATTACATCCACAGAACAGTTGGTAAAATACAATACAGTACAAAATGATACATTATAGAAATAAGAAGCCAAATATAGTGTCAAATCTTGTAGAAAACAGAAGAACTAACTATTAGTTCATCTATTGTTGGTGGGAGTGTCATGTGGTGGAGTGAGTCCATGGAGAGGTGAGGCAGGTAGGGACTTAGCCATGATTTGTGTACTTCGGTTTGATAGAATTGACGTGGATGTCTTTCTTGCATGCACAAATTTTTCTTTTGTCTTGATTATGAGGAAGAACACCAGACGATACAAAATTAGTATACCGACCAGAATGACCATGTCTACCCACTTTGAGTGTCCCATTTCTGCTTGCCATCTTTCTCTCAAGATGACTTCTCCACTCATTATATGATTGTTTGCAAACATATCATCTCTAAACTTTAGTCCTTCAAATTCATTCTTGAACATACCTTGGTAAGCATACTTGTGGAAGGACATGTAGTATAGTGGGTATTTCCAAAGTATTTTAGGCAACTCACTCGGTAATTGAAAATAACCACCACTTAGTATTTGTAGTCCTTGTATTCCTGCCCCCGCTACAATGCCCATTAGGAAGTTCGGTACAATAGCTGCAACGTTCATCATTAGGCTCTCCACTATCATCATACTGATGAAGAGGACCAAAGCAAAGTAGATGAAGTGCTCAAATCCATTTTGAAATCCAGCAAGGAAATAGGCAATGGCACCTGGAACCAATGATATTAGTAGCACGTACGGTATAGAAGAAAGTGTGTTGCCTATGACAAAAGCAAAACATCCATAGTGCCCGTTCACATTTTCTCGTTGAAATACCTGCAGTATTTTTGTCCAAGCAGTTAATTAAGTACTCACGATCGTACAAAATAAATCATATAATTTGTTAATTGTTTTAATTTAAAGAGAAAATGATACTACCTTCATTTCCTCCACAAATGAAGGGAATCCACCGACCGTCATAAATGTCATAAATGAAACTACGAAAGCAACCATTAGACCTCTTTCCTGCAATATCCAAGACCGTGTTATGATCCATAAATTGTGTGCACGTCAAGAAGAACTGAAAAGTACTTAGAAATTAAGTTTTAAAATTTAATTGGTGTTTCCTTGTCTGTGTTCTGTCTATCTATACCTCAATTGACCGATAGTTTGAGCCAACATTATAGTAGATGGAGCCAAGACTTAAAGCAATGGCGACATAAACAACGAATCTCATCCAATAGTAGCCAGGATCACGAAACATGTTCACAGTTGACCTCCTTGTAAGAACAAGGCATTGCGTCTTGAAGTTAGCATGGCTTCTTTTTTTCAACATTTCACCACCCTGAAAATATTTAATGGATGCAATTAGAGAGACTCCGTTCTCATCTCCTTTCCATTTTGGGGGTTAACTCTTTCTTAATTACCTGATGACATATTTCTGCAACATGGCTCTGAACTTCATGATATCCCTCTGATGATTTATATGAATTTATGAGAAGGTCTATAACTTCTTCTGTTGGTCGTCTTCCTCCAGCTGAGCCTTGTTCAATATCCTTTAAATAGGAACCAAGATATAATTTAATAAAAGGGTAACATTAATTGGTTTCTCTTAGAAAGAGGAAACATTAATATTTACCTCATCAAAGTCCTTGTTTATTGTTTTAAGAAAATGATCTGATGGATTCTGAAGATATGGGCAAGGGAAACCATTCCTCGTGAAAAACTATCATAATAAAAAACATAGAAACTAATCAAATCATTACATATATCACTTGTATTATATGCCCATTATATTACTTTGCAAGTTAATAGTTGAATAATGAATATATATATATACCTCAATTGCTGCACTAGCAGGTCCAAAATATACGGTTCTTCCTGAAGACAAAAGGCATAAACTGTGGAAAAGGTTGAAAACTTCAGCACTTGGCTGATGAATGGATGCAATAATGGTTCTTCCCTCTCTTTGACGTGAAATTCCGCTCATCACGTAATAAGATGCAGCACTGTCGAGGCCGCTGGTTGGTTCATCAAGGAAAAGAAGTTTTGGCCGCGTTAGAATCTCCATGCAAACACTAAGTCTTCTCTTTTCTCCTCCACTAATTCCTTTATTTTCAAATCCTCCAATTCTTGTGTTCATTGCATCTTGCAACCCCATCTCCTTAATAGTCTGCTCTGCTATTTGTTTTTTCTCTGATTTTGTCATGGAAACTGGGAGTTGGAGTTGTGCAGAGTAGTAAACTGCTTCTTGAACTGTTAGTGTTGCTAACAGAGTTTCATCTTGAGTCACATATGCCTGATTTTATAGGATAAAGAACATTACCATGCATGCTAATGAAAAAAATATAGTAATGTTATTGTGAAAAAAGGAAAACAAAATGAGTAGTGCATGCGGCATTCAGCTGAAGATTTTAGTTTCTTACAGATGTTCCATACGAAAGTTTCTGTTTGTGACCATTGATCAGAATTTCCCCGCTCTGCCTCGTGCTGAAATCCAGTCGCCCTGGGAGGTGCCCATCAGGTCAGTCATATTTCGTAAAAACAACTAGCATTATAGCTGTTATTTTTGTCCCCATTGAAGATATTATATGCATCATTTTCTAAGAGATATAGTAACAGTAGTAATATTTACCAGCTAAGGAATCGAGAAGTGTAGATTTGCCACAGCCAGAAGGACCCATAACGGCCAAGAGCTCACTAGGTCGAGCATAGCCAGTGAGACCTTTAAGTATGGATTTGCTTCCACCTTTTTTAGTGCTAACAGTAACCCATAAGTCATTCCAAGTCAAGAAAACGCCTCCACTTTTTGATACCATTTGTCCTTTCTCAGCATTATTCAACTCTACTTCCTGTAACTCCATATCCAAATTTACAGAAGCCATGCAATACCGTGAAAATTTGTAGGAAATACAAAGACTAAAAGGTGGTTTATTTCTTTTTCATGCAAAAGGTATGGGGTATTTAAGGAGGTTGTAGTCATCTTTGTCAGCTAGGGCTTTAATGAGATAATATGTCAAAAAATATCTTACTATTACAAACAGTTCAAGGGAACCAACTCATTTATGTTTCTCTTTGGAGTCTGCATTTTCATCTATTAATGGCTCGTTCTCATCCTAACTCTCATTTTTCTTTTTTTTATTCCCTCTTGTCAACTCTTGCTTCTTTGATTTGAATATTTTTTTCTTTCATGAAGTTTGGGACCATGGTAGAGATGGTCAGATATCTCTAGTAATTCGTAACCAGTATGGAAGTCGCTTTCTTTTAATACTATGTATAATATAATAGGTTTAGCAATAACTAGCTACTACCTGTTTAAGCACACAGTTAGGCTGTTCTTAATTGATTCTTGTACTCTATGGCTAGGTATATGTAGGGGTGGCCACTTATCCGTTTAAAACAAAAACCCAGAAATATGAAACTCCACAATCAAATTAAATAGAATCTTTACTGCTTAATGAGGATGCTAACAATTAGAAATTAAATGATCGACTGAACAATACAAACCCAATTACTACACCATCTAAAAGCCTGTACTTAAACTGGCCAAAATTGAAAAGTCGAATTGAACTGAACTAATTTTGGTTCGGTTTCAATTTAAACTTTTACTGAAAATAAAAAAATTGAACCAAACTGACTGAATGTCCAGGTTAACAAAACCAGTCATGTATGCTACATAGAATTGTCATATGTGTTATTAGCGGACAACGTCATCTACTCTAAATAGAAGCAAATCCAGAATTCGTATGAGTTTGAGTTCGGATTAGTACCGCAGCTCATTCGATATACTGAACAGTGTATTTGCTCAGTGAATTTCTCAACATATTTACAAGATTTGAGCCGAAGTTATTGAGGAGTCGTCGGGGACTAGTCTAAAAACTTTTATGTGGTCGATTCATCATTAAAGACTTGATCCAAAGAGCTTGGAATAATAGAGAAAGAGAATATTTACGTCATTTCACCAAACAAGTGAACAACAAGAGTATTAATTAGCGAATAAGGAGCCCAATATAGCAAAACATAATTATTACATAAACTTAAATATCACCTGTACAAGTGTCGATAAGAACTTGATAACGGGTGAAACATATACACAGAAGAATAACATGATAAAAATAAATAAATAGCAAATGAGGTATTTAAATGATATAAATAAATATTATATCTCAAATGTGTTATTGTTTTCGTTGTATCTCACTTAATCTATTTTTACGGACGGAAAAAATAGACTTACTATAAATCTCAAAATTTCAATTATGCCACATAATTGAAATAAAATAAAAATTATAAATCTCTATACATGTGAAACTCTAAAAAAAAAAGGTTAGAAATGATTGTGATCCTACACTTTCTCGAACTCTTGATAGGGAAGTCCAACGACCATGCACCAAATATCAAGTGAACAATTTCGGTCTTAAATTAAAAATATATAAGAATGTATTAAAATGCTCTTTAATTTTGTAGTTTTAAATATATCCCGTAGAAGCTTAGAATTAAAGTGTTATTTAAAAAGTAGAGAGATATTAATTTCGAAGCAGACTAAAAAAGAAAATTAGACTAATAAATTGAAGCGGATGGTGTAATAAATAAATTAGAGTTTCAACAGTTAGAGAATGCTTTTATTAGCCAATTTCGTTTGGATTTGAAGTCTGTTACAGAGATCAATCAACAATGAATCAAACTATACAGATTTAGTTATAGAGATCAATCAATAATTAATCAACAACATGGATTTAGTTATAGAGATCAATCATTTATTAGTCAACTACATCACCACCAACCTTTTTTCTTCTATCATATATTTTAGAATTCCTTTTTTCGTACACAAAATAGAAAATCTATCAACATTTAATTCTCTCTCTCTCTATATTTTACCATATATTTTCGAATTCTTTAAAATTTTCAGATTATAGTCTATAGTATTATAAAAAATAAATAATTTGAAAATAATAATAAATGACAGTTTTATTTATTATAAAGTCTTTTAAGCGGATTTTTATCCTTTTAAAAGTAATATAGATATAGATTCTTGTACCATGGCTAGGTATATGTAGTAGGGGTTGGCACTAATCGACCGCACTGATTTTTGAACAAATTACAATACTGAAATCAAATAGAAGCTTAATAACTGATTAGTGAGAAAATTTACCATTTGGAGATCAAATGGCAACTGAACTATACAAACCTAATTATTACACCATCTAAAAGCATATAATGAGAATGGCCAAAACTGAAAAATTGAATTGAACTGAACTAATTTTGGTTCGGTTTCTATTTTAAGTTAAACCAAATTGAAAATGGAAAAATTGAACTGAATTGATCGAATGCGGAGGTTAGCATTTGTATTAGCGGACAAAATTTGTATAGGTTCAAGTTTGGAATAATAGTACCACAACTCGTTTGATTTAAGGGACAACAAAATTTGTTAATTTTTTGATATATTCTGCAATGTTTGAACTGAAGTTACTGAGTTTGGATTTACATCTTGACGCAAGTTACTTCCTCACCAATCACTATCTTAGAGGGACTGGTCTTTATGCCTTACATCGTAACGCAAGCTACTTCCTTACCAGTCACCATTTTAGAGGGGGCTAGTCTAAAAACTTTAACGTGGTAGATTCAAGACTTAATCCAAAGAGCTTGGAATTATAGAGAGATACTAATTATTTCATTTCACCAAACAACAATATTAATCAGCGAATATTAAGCCTCCCGCCCTCACCCCACCCCACTCCCAACATAAACACACCTCTACATAAATTATTAAAACATAATTAATACGTAAACTTAAATATCACCGGTACAATTGTCGATAAGAACTAAACAATACGCATTACGCGAAACAAGGAAATGTCGAGTAATTTTTAGCAATTTTATTAATATGTTTCTTATTCCCATTGCTTGCTTCTCTAATTGTATCACATTTTGGGGTGATTTTTTTTTATATTTTAGAAAAAGTCAACGAAAGATGAGCCCATACCTGATTACCAAGGATTATTTTAGAAATCACATGGGAGAAAATAAATGCTTTTGAATAAGAGGCTAAAACATAAGTTTGCTTCATTCATGGAACTTTCTCTTCACAAAATGTATTTACTATAGTTATGGGCTTTTGTGAGAGAAACACAACACTATCGATCCCGAATTAAAGAGGCCAGTCCATTAATACTACTACAACAACTCACATTAACTCTTCTTCCCAACCAATGATTCAATTCAACTTTCTTCATTTTGGATAGGTTTAGGATTATATATTATATACAAATACAAATTCAACTATTCAATGTGACAGCTCAATCTAATTTAGATTTCAGATCTCAAATACTTAATTCTATTTAATTAATGACGTCGGTAGCATTTTATTATTTTATATAGCTTCTCATTGAATTTTGGTCTATCATTGTGATTTCAAAGAGATAGTTAATAGCAATAGATTTTCGTTGTGAGAAATTTTTTAGTGGTAATTGAGTTAATGTCATTATATTCAGAGTTGTTGAAGCCTTTAGCGTCATTTAGATAAAGTGTAGGTTATAAATACCAATATTTATTATATGGCAAAAATTATATTATTGTTGATAAATTCTTTATTTGTTGTAGTGTTTTCCGAGTGACATGTTGGACATTTAGTGGTAATAGATTTTCCTTTAGTATTGTTGCGAAAATATTTAGTGGTAATTGAGTTAATGTCATTGTATTTCGAGTTGCTAAAACCTATAACCACATTTAGATAGAGTATTGATTATAAATATCAATATTTGTTATTCTCGCTAAATATATTGCTCGCTACATTTTTTATTTGTTGTAGCATGTTTTTCCATTGAAATGTTGGCAAAATTATATATAAGCGGTATCAATTTGCGACAATTTAGCTTGCAAGTGAATTTGGGTCTATCGTCGTGGTGATTTTATTTAAGATTTTACTGCTACCCAAAATTAAGAAATGGAGGAAGGATATTTATTTTGTCTTATTTTGAAATAACGTCACATCCTAGAGCGTTTCATGTGTGTACACATTTATTTATTAGAAAATTATTATTTACACACAAATATTAGAAAAAAAACTTTTGTAATGTGTGGGTCTCCGCCATTGCTTCCAGTAATTTTCTGAAGTATTCTTTTAGCTGAAACGTATTAATGAGTTTGCTAACTATATTAAGCTGATCAAATTTAATGACCAAGATATTACATTTTATATCTCATACTTTTATTTTTAGTCTTCTTAAAAAATAATGATAGTGTCATTTTGTATTAGGAAATTGTTTAACTTTAAATTTTTCATTTTTAGTTAATGACATGCTCATATATATCATAAGAAATGTCATAAGATGCCTATAAAAATTACAAGTTGCAAGTGTACATTAGATATATACTAAAGTCCTTACGTTATAAACTTGTACTTAATCAAATACTGTCATATACATGAAAGGAAGGCAAATAGTATTAGACAATTTTTTGCTTGTTGAGGAAAAAGATAGACGTAAAAGGTTTGCCGTGTTTTACACGTTTTGAGGATAAGCTTTGAATACAAAGAAAGCAACGTATGGGAAATAGCCCATATATGATCACAATATCTGCTCTGCCATACTTCCAGAATAATACATCAAGTGGAAGAGGAAAGGGAAGGGAAAGGGAAAGGGGAAACAATCGAGGGGATTACCAGGTGGAGAATCGAACCCTCACCAATAAGGTTAAAGTTCACGTAGTCAATTAAAACCAACTGAACTACTAATATTCTCCAATTACATGTATGATGTAACTATTTATTGATTACTTAGATTGACAAAAAAGGGGGTGCATATACATGTTTGAAGTAGTTCGGGGTTATAGGACCTTTTCAAAATTTAAGCGTCTCTTTAAGGTATGAAGAATAATTTGAGTAGACTATGTATTATTGATAATGGAGTTAATATCTTAAGGGTTACTCAACTATTGACGTTTCACCTATAGAGTTACTTAATCATTTTATATGATTTTTTCATTTAATTTTACTTATATGAAAAATTTATTTTGAGCATTTTTTTTTTTTTGAGAAATAAAAAGCTACATACCCATCTTAATTATTTTAGCTAGCTAGTCTTGTTTCATACATGGTCTGATTTTCTTGATTATTAACTCACTGTTTACTATATATCCGTAGGGTTGGCAATTTCAGCCCATCTTAATGAAATGAATTCATTTAATCCATATTTAATGACTTGGATCATTCATATTTTAATAAAAAAATTGTATGAAATAGCAAATTATTAATTTAAATTAAATGCTATAGCCATAGTTTATTTTAATTGTAATTCGCAGCAAACATCTCTTTTTTTTTGCCATCTGATTCAGTATACAATTAGTCATTTTCGGTATACAATTAGCCATTTTATACATTTCGATATAAAATGTATAAAATATGTTTGTGTTTGTATAAAGCGAGAGAAAAATGTATATACAAATACTAATACATACATTTTCGTCTTATACACTTATAATTATACAAATACAGATCTTATTATACAAATTACAATGTATAAATGAATTTATACAAAAC